CGGCACTGAACACACATGCAGAGGTGAACACAGAACACACATGCAGAGGTGAACACAGAACACACATGCAGAGGTGAACACAGAACACACATGCAGAGGTGAACACAAGACAACATTAGCACGACCAGTAATCCTACAAGCTGTCATTACTACCCTCCTGACTGTTCTCCTCACTGTCTTCCTCTCTGTCAGACATGGTAGCTGATGATGTAGGCCTACTTCTTTCTCTCTGGTTGAGTCTGTGATTAGCTGCTTGCATCCACAAGTCAACAGCTGGTTTTGGGTCGAAAGTCTCTGTTGTCATCTTAGACAAGTGGATGTAATCAAATAAGTATGTGAACATAACCAATAACCTACCATAGCCAATAACAAATGAATGTAACTTATTTTATTTGTGTTGTTCATTCATATTTTACCTTAACATTTAATTATTTATGCATTTTTTTTAGCTCTCCAGTTTTAAAGGATATTTTTGGTTACTGTCTTATACATTGGAATGATTTAAAACCTGTTTATCCCAATAATTATAAAGGAGTGCCTTGGAAATATGTGTTTACATAAATTGTGACCAAACCGTTTGAACTTAGACTAAGAGTCCTTACCTCACTGAGCTGTAGTATCAGCCTCTCAGTCTGACTGGAGAGGACTCTCCCTCCACATTATTGTAGAAACATCTTCTTCTTATATCCGTTAGAGCAGCTAGCACGGCACCAGATTCTAATAACAACAGCGCTGGTACCTGTGCATCCTCGCATTTTGGCTGTGAGCTGCGGGCGCCAGATAAGCCAACATCCCCCATTTTCATCACTTACAGCGCCCATCGTACAGGGCAAATGAAATGTGTAACCGGGGTGAAAAGGGTGTTACATTTACTTAATAATGAATATTGTTACATCAAGGCCGAAAATTAGGATGAGCCCCAACGGTCAAAATGTTTTTTTCCCTCCCAGAACTGCCAGCGCAGCGACTCCGCCATCTGGCGCCCTAGGCGAACATCTAGCCAGTGCTACGGGCCGGCCCTGAGTTCATATCATGGTTCATATGCAACTCGCAAATATCTTTCTTTCTCTCTCTCTCTCTCTCCTCTATTTTCTCTTCTCCCTTCTCTCTCTCCCTCTCTCCCTCTCTCAATGTTGGTACGCAAATGCGCTTTGTTTCAAATGACCCGGTGCTCTTTTTTTGGCGGAGGTGCGCATGCGCACCTGCGCACCAGTTATGTGCAGCCCTGGTTATAAATATCCATAAAGTTAGATATTTAAAAAACAGTTTCTCTCTAAGGCTCTTTTCTCAGTGAGTCTCTGTAAAATCACTGTGAGTCTCTTTCACAGTGTCAGACCATTCACAAAGGTATTGTCAAAGCCCAATTGGCACTGAACCAACGAGGCCGTCAGGCTTCCAATGTGCCTCCGCCAGGCTGGCACGAGTGACACAGAAGGCAAGCTGTGCTGACAGCATAAGACAAATTACCTGTTAACGATATTTTCCTCCCTGTGTCACTCTCTTATCTCATCTCACAATTTGGACTTTGATTGGATAAACATATTGATCTCCCCCAGCGAGAGTATGCATTTAAACCTAATTTAAATAACTAAATTACCTCAAAAGGGCAATAATTGTCATACTGTTGCATAATAAAATGACTATCACACATCTCCTGGGGGCTTAATTACATTGTTAATTGCATTGTGACTCACCTTTTAGCCTAAGGCCGAGCACACATTGGCATTTCACGTCACTTTGGCATTTCAAGACAATTTGTGCTACATTGTGCCAGAACTCACTGTTATTTTAAGTATTTATGTTATTTTTTTATAATGTTTTTATAAATGTTTTAATTATGTTTTTATTTTTTTTGGGGGGGGGGTCATCGTTGAGGTTATTGTTCGTTTGTTGTCTACAGTTTTTTTTTATGTCCTTTTTACAATATTTCTTATTTGTTGTAATGCACTTTTGACGACTTGTTGCTATATAAAAAAAGTAAATGCTACTTGCTTACTATACAATGATAGCATTTTGGAGTAACACTGTCAAGAACACATTCACATTTCGTTATGGTGTGCAGGCAACTAAAATGTTACCCAATCCGAGTTTTCGCACGAAAGAACCTCTCGCTATTTGAAGATACATTTGAACTCCCAGGGGGCAATTTTACATCATAATGTTACAAGAACAGTCTGAAGAGGTACTGTAAAAGAGTATTTAAACAAAAAAAAGGAACATTTAGATAATACATTTAAAACTATAAAAATATATACACTGTCCGACATGACATTAGGCTACTTGGACAGCATTGAAGCTGTCCAAATAAGTTGCGCAGCATTATAGTGGCTCCACAATATAGGAAGTATACTATATGTAGACTAGTATAATGCTACGCACAATATATAGAAATTATACATATTAATAAAACATATGTCGCAAAATAAAGTACAATATAATATTATCCGCACCAATACACGTCAAAGTGCATTGGTTTTAATATATGTATACTTTTTTCCTTGTTTTCCTGTTAAAAGTCCCACAATCTTGTGATCACAACAAAACACACAGGTGGAACTAATACAATTAACGAGGGCTCTGTTCCAGCAGTCATTGTGCAGTGCAGCCATCATGAAATATGATCAGCTTACTGTAGCCTATGTTGCTCTAGCTAACCTGCTAGCAAAGAGAATCAGTAGCCATGAAAAGGGAACGGCAGTAACTAATAGCAGTAGGCTAACTATTTAAACAGTTAAAAGACACATAGCAACATTGTCATTCATTAAGAGACATGCTTCTATCCACAAAATGAATGTAGGTTTGAAATGTATTATTTTTTAACTGTGGTATTGTCTTCACCAATGCTAGCTTGGTGCTAGCTTCTATGTTTTACTTTCTTACCGTCTAGCTTAATCGCTAACTTTGCATGCTATTTTGTGCTAGTTAGCGTCAAGTCTTGTATGAGTTTTGTTTGCTGAACATTTCTGTCTATCATTTTATATAAATCTTTGAACTATATATCATTTATTACATGTACTGTAGGAGAACCAATATGAGTGGAAAATACCTGCTAAAACTATATAGGCCTACCGCTATTAGTCGGTGTTAGCATCATTCTCTGTTGGTTTAGCACTGAGTTGCCATTTCATATGACATGAAGGAATTTGATTAAGTGTCACTATAAAAAAGAACACTTTTGGAACATAAAATGTTTTTTGTTTACAGTTAACTATGCCACAATGATGTTTACAGCATTTCCAATTTAAGTGAACTGTTTACTATTTGAATATTATTCTCCTATATTTAGTTTAACCCGGTATCACAGCAAGACGTGAACATGTGACGATTTACCATGCTGGGAGACGTGAAGATGTCACGATTTCGTCCCTTCAAACGTGACAGTTACACGGTATTGTTAACATGGCCCAACCAGTGGAGAAATACCCGGAAATGCCAAGCAAATGCTACCCCGACGGTCTGTTGTTATTGTCAATATTAATATAATAATGATTTATTTTGTAATAGTCACACTCGATTACACCGATTTTCTTGTTGCCCCAGCTGGTCGACACCTCTTTTAGCAGAAACAAAGGCTACATTAATGTATTAAATCTATGTTAATCCATGCGTGTGGATGTGGAATTAACGGACGTGACATTGTGCTATTGCGTTGCCAGGCAACAGCTTCGGTTCATGTTAATTTACAAACTCTTCAACTACAACCGTAGTTATATTTAAAAACATGTTAGGGCCTCACAAAATACTTTAATGTAAATGTAAATTTAAATGTAAAGGAATGTGTGTATAACAAAATACATCCGTCATAAACGAAACCGGAAACAGACGTAGGCAAGATCCTCAGCTCGATGATTGGATGGTTTAGCTGCAATGCACGCTGGGATTTGGGGTTTATGCATGTGAAATCCGAACATTTAAAAAAAATAAAAATAATACTTTATTCCGAGTGTGCTTGCTTTTCTCTTTGAAAGTCATCATATAACGGCATTGTAATACACGGTTCGGCTGCATTAAATATTACATATCTGCCGTAGTTCTCTATTTATAGAGCCCTGCTGAGAAGACTTCTAGACAAACAGGAAGGACTGCCACCAAAACTGGAAAATGTGACGTGGATCATAAATATATAAGCAATTAAACAACATCTTACATTTATTTTCACACAATACGTCTCCTTGCAGTATCAACACTAATTCGGCTGACTTTTATATTTGATCCAATTGGTAGATAGGCTGTATTTACACCATAACGGTGCACAGCTGATAGAAAGGGACACCTGGTGGTTAAAGCACGTTATTGCATTTTATTATTAGATATTAATAGGATCCCTATAAAGTATATTAATTACTCGTTATTCTCTACTAATAGTTAATTAAAGACTGTATATAATGACTATTTTGCACATCCCTTTCAAGATTTCAAGATTTTCTAAGGTTTATTGACATATCATATACACAACTACGGTGTAGTTATGCAATGAATGAAAAACTTGGGTCGCAGGTTCCTCAACAGTATTACAAGACATCTATCAATATGTGTGTATACCTCCACCATTAAACTGTCATATTCTGCAAATGTCTTGGCATTTCGGGGTATTTCTCCACTGGTTAACATGGGTTAACACAATACCGTGTAACTGTCACGTTTGAAGGGACGAAATCGTGACATCTTCACGTCTCCCAGCATGGTAAATCGTCACATGTTCACGTCTTGCCGTGATACCAGGTTGATTTAGTTAGGGATACAGATATAAGTTTTACCTTAAATTTAAAATGATGTCTTTAGCATTTCACATGACGCATTTCAGCTGTTCTAACTGACAGTTAAGTTTAGCGCACAGAAGATACACAAAAGCTACTAAAAAGGTAATGCGTAATAGGCAGCATGTGTGCAGGTGCATAAACCATCTTAATAAGATTTAACCAAGAGAAAAAAAACGAGAGAAACAAAACAAATCTATTTATCATGTAACTAATCTGTGTTTTTCTCATTCTCTTTTACAGTAAAGAAAGCAAAGCTACACGGTCCTCCAGGTAAGAGCAAATCCATCATACTTGTTGATGTTTGTACATTGAGAGGTGTGTACATTACAATAAGAGTGACAGCTGTGTTATTTCTCACTAATAGTCTCCATCTGAGTTATATGTGGCTCGAGCTAGGAAAGTCTAATGGAGCTAGTGGCTTTATACTGTAGGTGCTCTATTATGCTCATTTTCAGGTTTCATAATTGTATTTTGTGTCTCAAATGCTTTCATTTTATCATACTGCCTGTGTGGCAGCACCTCTTTTCAACCTCTGTCTGAAACAAGAGCCCAGTCTGCTCTGATTGGTCTGCTCTGTTATGATTGGTCAACCAGTTAGTATGTCCAGCTTGTCACGTACAAAGTTGACTTTCTACTGATGTGAGTTCCTTATTCTGGATTATTATAACATCGTATTATAATTTGACAACATACTCATTGAACAGCTCTCTTTAAGTTAGGACAACACGTTTTTGTCTTTTCTTTATTAAGGTGTTGATGTCTCACAATAGTTCAGGTAAACTTTCTGCTGTTCAGTGTGCAGTTTCACTCTCTGGATGATCAGTGTTTCTATATGTGACCTGTACCTGTACCTAGTGCTGTGTTCTTGCAGAGCCAATATTTGAATCTTATCAGGGTCATGTACGTGGATGTCCTCAGTATATGTGTAATAGAGGAAAACCACAGCTGAAAATATTTTTCAAACAGTTCCTCTGCATCAAATTAAGAAGCAAGTCAAGAGTGGAACATCCTATGTACACATCAAGCTTTTTTTCCTCCCATTTTACCTCTTTGTGGGCTGCAGCTGTTCGTACCATCATCTCTCCAGGCTCTGATGAGGGGAGAACAACAGCAACGAGTGGGAGAGAAAAAAGTCAAGCCAGAGTAGAAGAGAAGAAAATCAATAGATCATCATAGACAAAGAGCCACCTGCTAGCCTGAAATGACAACATGCCATCCTGGCATGAATAAGAAGATGGAGACAAATCCATCAGTGTCTTTAGGAGACAGATTCCAGATACAGGAGAAGATTTCTCCTTGACCGCCTCTGGCCTACAATCTCAGAGCAGATTTTCCAAGCGGAAGCAGGAGATTTGATTGGCCTCCCCAGGGTTCATAAATCCGGACATGAGTGATTGTTTTGATACTGTACAGTCATTTTCTACTGTAGAAATAGCCTTTCATTCATTTGTTCTGTGGTTCCTCCCTTTTGAATTATTCAGTTTAACTTAAAGGTGCCCTATTCTGCTCATTTTCAGGTTTGTATTTAGTGCCTCTTCTGTGACATATTTCCATGCTTTAAAGTGGACTTATCATGCTATATTTGAAAAATATATTGTAGGGCCATACCTATATAAAACATGTCTGTGAAGTTTTTTTTTCAAAATACCAAACAAATCACCCATTGTAGCCATGCCTCATGTTGCTCAAACCCCTCTTTTGAAGTCCTGTTAGAGAAACGCAGATTTTGGGTCCTTAGCTTGAAAAAAATAAAGAAGAGGAGGCAGAGCTAATGCCTGATCAGAATTCTACCGGAGATAAAGTTACATTTGGTTGTGATAAAACGCCATCCTGTTTAAACCACGTCAAGGATTATTTTTGAAACAGTATGGAGCTCAAATGCTTTTTCTCTTGCAGGTTTATCACAAGGTGAGTTCTTTTTTTATTTCCTGATTTTTAAACACATGTGCTCTTCAGTACAGGTTAGCTCTGAGTGTTAGCGAGGCTTGCTAATGTAAACAAAGACGTCCAAAACACGTCAGGCATTGTTTCTGATAGCAACTTTCTGTGGGTCCGCCGACGTCACCTCGGATGGACACGTCAGTTCGGATGGAAATCTGTATCCGCTCGTTGTACACCCGTTTTAAAAAGATTTGGGTACGGAGGAAAAGACAGAGGGTTTTATTTTCTGACGCTGCGTGAGTTCCCCGACGCACCTGGGACACATATTTATGTATAAAATACATCACAAAGTGCATTTTGCATGATAGGTCCCCTTTAATGTTCAAAAAGTTCTTTATTTTTCTTATACTGCCTGTACTGCAGCACCTCTTTCACCCTCTGTCTGAAACCAGTGCCCAGTCAGCTCTGATTAGTTAGCTGGCCAGCTTAGTTGTGATTGGTCAACAGCTTAGAGATGTCCCGCCCCTTAACGTATCAAATACAATAGAGAGGCGAAGTCCCGCCCATCTACTTCCGCCCCATGGGACCTTATTTCGGAAAAATTATGTATTAAAGTCAATGGGGAGAGAAAACGTATCTTTCAATCCCGTTTGAATTGTGTCATGAATTACACATATGATGTTTGTCAATCTTAAAAAATTATTTCCATGTCAAAAAAGTCACAGTTTGTCGTAAAACTGTTGAAATATAAGACTATGAAAAATACGCAACTAGAAAGACTACAAATCCCAGAGTCGCGTAAGTGATGTCATAATTGTTTTCCTCCACTAAATATAAGAGATAGCTAAGATAAGATAACTTTAACAAGATGCCTGTGTGCTTAGTACCAGGTTGTAATCATACCAGCAATGGGTCTTGCTCGTTCTTTCGCTTCCCGTCTGATGAAAGGACCAGGAGTGGCTGGATCAAGTTAGCTACCTAGCTAGTAGCAAGCACGTTAGTTAGCATTACAGCCTTAGCCTTGTCATTGATATTAGCCTTAACATGAAGTAACACTAAGTAACCCAAAATGTTAAACAGTAAGAGTAGTAGTCATATTTCGTGAACCCTTTGAATAGTACTGTCACACCGGTGTCATCATTCTATAATACACCGTCTAAGCCCGGATGCCCCCGGGGGGGAAATGCAAGAGCTCACGCTACATTAGCATCGGCAATCTTTTCTACTTCATGCTCTCTGCACAAATGGTTAACATTGAACATTAAAAAGATCAGGCTGTTCAGGGAGAATCGAAGGAAGGCAGGCAGGCAGGCAGCTTTGCATGACATTCTTCTGGACGTGTTTCATTGTGGTGATAGTGAGGGTAGTCAATCCCTTTTTTGGCAAGTCAGTAGTGACGGCCATCTTGGTGACGTGTGTTGTTGTGCGAGACCAGAGATGTAGTTCATTGAGCGTTTCACACAAACAAAAGTCTTACTTCACAGTTTTACGACACATTTTTATTTTTTTGACTTGCAAAATCATCTTTTAAATTGACAAACATGTGTAATTCGTGGCACAATTCAAACGGGATCGAAAGATAATCTTTCTTTCGCCATTGACTTCAATACATCCTTTTTCCGAAATAAGGTCCCATGGAGCTCCCCCGGAAAGGGAGGGACTTCGCCTCTCTATATGTTGGAGCTCTAGCAAGTAGAAGCACGAGGGTTACATAGTGATGTATTACGGAAGTAAACAAAGAGGTCCAATGGAGGCAATTCAGGCAGGGGGGGAGAGAAACTCCCTCTGGCCTGAACTATAACAAAAACCTATACAACACACTACAGGAAAGAGAAAACCCCCAAAAGCACAATAGGGCCCCTTTTAATTGTATTACCATAAACATTGCTCAGTTTACTGTAAAAGTAAACAGGCTTTCAGAATCCAATTTTTTTTTTAACCTAAAACAAACTTGTTTTCCCTCTGGGCTGTAACACCCCTACAAGTAGGTGATAGAGAGTATTCAGAGTATGTCATGTGACGTGATTATTAGTCTCAGGGAGGACAAAACTAGTAGACTTTGTCCCACTCTTTTGCTCCAGTTTGGGATACATGATCTGATTATCTAATAGTAAAAGCAATAGATTATTAGCCTGGGGGGACTGGCTGCAGTGCCAAATAATCCCTCTTGGAACCCCCTTGAGAGATTTTGGCCAGTAAATGTGTCACTATATTAGTTTAGAAGATTTAAGGCACATTATCCTGAGACGCATATGTCAAGCAGTCTGTTGGCCTAAAAATGTGGGCCAACCTTCAACTAGTGGATGGATTGCTGTGATATTTAGAGCAGACATTCGTTGAGATCAATGTAAGGCTTACAACTTTGAGATTTCTGCTTCCATTCCAAAAGAGTGGAGTTGAACTGAATTGTGTTTGTGTTGATTAAGCATTAAGTAATTATATTTACCATACATATAATATTACCATAGAAATATTCCCATTGAAAAAAGATTGGCAGTATCAGCTACTTTATATGCATGTCTTGTATCACTAGACTTAAGCGATACACTTTTTTGGAAGTGGAGCAGGTGGACATAAATGCAGGAGACTTGGAGGCAACAAGAACTTTAAAAGGGAACAACTTTAATTTAATGTTCAGTGAGAGAAGTATCCCGGACGTACCTAAGTGGCAGTCATGAAAAAAAGTCATGGGGTTTAGACAAGAAATCTAGGAGAACTCATTAGGACTTAGTAAAAGAGAGCCGTGGTGTAAAGAGAATAAAAGTGCACTTACACTGGGTAGTTGTAATTAAGATGTGACGGCAGATGACTTTGATATGCGTCTGCCATCGTGAAACTCAATTTTCCAGGGATGGATTACTAAGATATAGGTAAAGTCTAAAACATTAAAGCATTTTAGCAAGTTATTGCAGCAGATGGAAAATGCTTCTGAAGCACTGTAACTTAAATCCTCAGAGTGTGTTGGTCATGATCAGTTGTTTTAGTGAACCGCAGAACAACACTTTAATCGATGCGGACGCAAGGAATTGTTGATAGCATTATCTCCTTCCCTTTTCTAAAGGATAGTCCAGTGTATCCTAAGCTAAGGAGATGATAAAGAAATCATAGAAGCACCTTTCCTTATCATCGAGAGGATTTGATCAGCTCTTATTATGGCTGCAATTTAGGTACTTTCAGATCATTTTGCTCCGTTAGGAAGCTTCCTAAGCAAAAAGGATTGCTCGACTGATGCCCAGAATTTACAAACAAGCTAATCTGAGGGGATGAAGTGCAGATTGAGAGAAGCTAAGGTGAGGGGAATGAGATGATTAAACAAGAAAGTAGGCAGGGAGCTGATTAGCAGGGGGAAAACATTGTGAAAAGGAAAGGAGCCTATTCGCTGGGAAGAT